TTTTTTTTTTTTGGGGGGGGGGGGGGTGTAGATATATCTATATATATTAGATTATACTAGAACTCAACAAATTATTACAGTTGAGTTCTATTCACCTGCATGTACAATGGTCAAGTCAATCACTTGTAATATTTAGGGACTGCCAAATAATAAGCAATATTCCCAACTGTACAATTTTTCAATTGCTGTATTCAGACAGATCCATTATGTCCATTTTCACAAAACAAAAACAAAAATCTTTTGGCCGAGTACAGAAGCACAATGCTGTTCTCCAGAATTGTAAAACACTTTATTCCTATAAAAAAACTTTTCATTATAAATTATATAACAACTAAAAATCGACACGAATTGTGTTAAATAATACCACCAAAATAACCCATACTGCACTAAAAAAAAAACAGAAAATAAACCACAAGATACTCAGTTTCATACATAAATACTCTTCTTAATACATTAAAAACATCTAAAATCAGGGGTAGCCAAACTCCGCCCCTCCAGCTGTGGTGGAACTACAAATCCCATGAGGCATTGCAAGATTCTCACAGGACATGACTCCAGGAGAGAGATGCATCATGGGATTTGTTGTTCACCACAGCTGGAGGGCCGGAGTTTGGCTACTCCTGATCTAAATGCTCCTATACTGCTGCTAATGCATTCAGTAAGATTGGCATGGTATAACTAAAGAGAGGCAGGTGCTCTATTTCTGTCTATATTGAAATAATATTTTGTGGCTGAGAATATACCAGCAAATTTTGATCAGGAAGTAACCAGTGGGAATAAAGATGGCCACAAGAGTAAGCTCAATCTGCTGATGTGATCATATTGTTTTTCACAATTCTACTACAAATACAGGATGTGCTCACATAAAACACACCATATAGTTTCCCTTTAAAGCAATCACAGTATATAACTATTTAGTCATCCGATTGTAAATATTCAAAAGGATCCTAGTTCAAATACATCAAATAGGAAATCCAACAGAAAAAAATGACAGGAAATAATGGGATTTTGTTGTTTGAGTGTTTTGCAGAGCGCAGGAACGCGCTACAAAACACCCAGGTGTGAACCGGGCCTAAGTGTAAGGCAATGTTGGAGGTCTTGTTTCTGTATAAATAAAATGACTAGATATTTAAGTTAGTGATGAGGTTCCCGATTTGGATCAGAGTCTTTGCCCTAAATAGAAGCCACTGACACCCCACACATCAAGCACCTTTCTCTTTGAGACCATGGCTGGTTAAACTTAAATATTTAACTCTTTTTTCAATAATGAATCCAGATCAAACAAATATACATTGTCCGGCAAAGAACGGATTTATATTTTGACCCACTTACAGTCATGTCTCCAAACAGCTCCAACTTTCTCAGCTCCGCTTCCCTGACCTTCCTGCTGAGTATAAGACCACAAGGGACAGAGCAGCCTGCAGCAGCTGTCCATCTACTAGCTTGTAGAAGGGAGGAGGGAGAAAGGAGGAAACTGGCTTGCCCTGCTGTGCCTGTGTCTTTGTGGAGACACACACAGATGACTAGCACACACAAAGATGGCTCCATTAGGCCAGTGTTCAGGGGACCAGCTAATTCTGCAGGAAGCTGAAACTTTTAAAAGATCAGGGGGACCATCCATTAAGTGATTGCATCAGCATTTTAAATGGCTTAAAGCATGTTGACATTAATATCACTTTAATTCAATGGCCAAGTTGTCTTTTCTTTTTTTCAGTCAGGTGCCTGCTAAATGTAGCCCCTCACAATCAATATAGCCCACCTCCTAGATCTTCCTGTGCCTTTACCTAAAAACGTAAAGTGTATGTAAACTAACAATTAACCTCTTATTTGCTCCCTTTTGGTCTGAACAATATGCAATCGAATTGTGTGTGGGTTTTTTTTTGTTTTGTTTTTTAATAATTGTTTTCAATAATTGCATAAATTTTTTTTTAAAGGGATTTGGTTCTGCCAGAAATCCAGTGCTGCCCTGTGCAATCTGAACGGTCATCAGCCCTGCCTGGTTCTCTTCTGTGAATTCCAGAATGTCTCGCCCTATGTTATGGAGATGAGGAGAGGAGTTTTAACATATTTCCTGTCCTGGGGTAAGAACACTGCTTCTCCATATATACAGTACAGTGAATGAGTGGGGTCACCCTAAGTGTCACTGGCAGGATTACCAGGTCAAAATAAAAGGAAAAAAGAAAAGTGAATGCAGCCACCTCATCCAAGGACTGAAAAGCTGCAATATATTTGTTTTTGGGTTCAGATAAAACTTTAACCTTCACAACGTCTGTTTCCTACATATCTACACAACGTAAAGATACTGAAAGACAATGTGTAATACAGTCACAGCTCCTAACTTGATTTTGTAATTAAAATGTTCTTTGCATTTGTGGTTTATACAAATTCACGCAAATATTCTGTCAGTTTTCTATCTAGATCTTTACCTGTTCATGTTTTGCAATGCAATTTTTCTTTCTACTGTATTTCAATGTTTAAAGTGGCTAAAATAAAAGTATAGGTACGCTCCTTACAGGTACAAAAATCTAAACCCCATCTCTAAAATCCCTTTATAAACTGAAAGTGTTAAAGTTGAACTCCGTGCTCCCACTAAATAAATCGCTGGCATCCTTTTACTAACCTAAGTCTACAGACACATGCTGTTCCAGTCCCACGTCTTCTATCTTCTTCTGTTTATACGAGGCGAGGTGCTTTAGGGGTATGGAACTCATTTCCTGCTTAAAGTGGACAATTCCAATTGGCTGTCTAGATGCCGAGTTCTCTCAGAATCTAGAAGAGGGTGATGACAGCAGTAAAGAACCGACAGAAAGCGTCAGGCGCAAGCACATCTGCAGCATTGGATTATGGGCCCCCACACAGAGTCCACGAGGAACATTAACGGGAGTTAACATAAGATGGTTAAATAGGAAAAAAAAAAAGGAAACACTGGAAAGGATAGAGAGGAGTGGGGAGGGAGTGGTGGGAGGGTCATTTTTGCACATAAATGGGCTTTAATGTCATTCTCAATATTTTTAAGTCTACCCAGTGGTACTCCTACATTGTCAGACTGTCATGTTGGCTTCCTATAGAGACTGCAAGTGGATGTTTCAGTACATACATGGTCCAATGTAATCAATGTCAGGAGGCTAGCATTGAAAAACTTCATGCAGCCTTCGCTGGAATGCATGCATGAAGACAGGAAGTGGCTGCAGAAACATACATGAAAATATTTTTTTGGGGTAAAAGAGGAAGTTTTATGGTACACAGTGGTTATAGAAGAACTGAAGTCCCATAATGAAATAAAACAAAAACACTGCTAGAAAAGGTTTCTTTTTGTAGAAAAGATATGCAAATTCTCTTTTGTCAAATATTTCTCCTTTTTTTTTTGTACGTTGCCATGCAGTCCACAGTCCCGGCATTCATAAAACAATAAAATGGAGTTGAAGAAGATGATACCAGTAGGAGACAGGGTAGTAACTGGAGCACAGAGCGGTCATTTCTGGAGGAGTGCATTGTGTGAGGCAAGTGTGCCATAAGGCAAGAGCCAATCCTCGCCCAGCAGACTTCTACTTTAAACAAACAAAAGCCATTCAATTAGGGATAACATTTACATAAAGTGACACTAAACTCAGGATATGTGAATTTATTTTTTAGATTAAGCTCCTAACAAAAATGTACACTACATACAAAATCTTATTTGTATATCACACGGCTGTACATCTCTGAATTGGTGCTGACACTGTCCTTTCTTCTGGAGGGTGACTACTTTTGTTCCCCCATGGTTCCTGTGTGTGTTGTAAAGTAGCCACCACTCTAAACTCACTCCTGTGATGGAATACAATCTCAATACAGATTAGTAAACTAAAACGTGAGATTGTAGTCGATCACAAGAGTGAGCTTGGAGCGGTGGCTACTTTACAACAGACGCAGGGACCATAGGGAACAAAAGTAGCCACCCTCCAGAAGGAAGGACAGTGTCAGCACCCTGTCAGAGATGATTTGAGGATCTACAAGCTGAGTGATACACAAATAAGATACATTTGTGTTAATAGTTAAGGTACTTGAATGTATTTTTAAGATTTACTTAAACAGTAGGAAAATAAAAAACTCACATCTGTTTTGTTTTTCTCCTGTGTCCTGGTTGGGAGATTTACATTCAGTCCCTGTCTTGGGAAATAAGGTAGTGAGATAACATCTCCCCAAAGTGAAGGGAATTCCCATCTTAGATAGCCATCAACAGAACATTTATAACCATTGGAAGATTTCTCCTTACTTTCTATTTTCGTGAAAAGGGTCATCAGGACAAAAAGGGGGAAATGTCCTCAGCAGGGACACAGACCACAATAAAAATGTGTCAGATGGCCACATCCTTCCCTACTCCATCCCCCCCAAAAA